TAGGGAAATGACAAATTGCTCAATTTCAGAAAAGCTGACATCAAGGCACAAAGACTGGCTGACAGTCATGGGAGACTACACACAATTTGACGGGTATTAGAAGCCAGAATCTCCTGGTTTTTAGCCTTTAAACGTTTCATCGTGGGGGAAAGCAAGTTAAAAGTTGTTAGTGGGAATAAAATCCCAGGGCTGGGCATCAACATGTTTCCATTTGAATTAATCCAATTTTCTTTATTCCCTTAGGAAATCACAAATTGACGCAAATAGCGAAAATAGTCATCAAAATCTGTGAGCATGAGGTATGTTTCCCACTGTCGTGTTTTAAACGTGTCCAGAGTGAGGACAGGGTGGCTGAAGTTTGCATGTGCAGGATCTTCCAGTGGGTAGCCAGAGTGGCTTTAGAATTTGTTTAGGCCCAGACGGCTCTCTCTCTTTAAGGGAAAGTAAAAGCAACTAGGAGGGGCCCCCCCCCATATGTTGTAGAGCACCCGCACCTTAGCCATGATCTATAGGAGATGGTTCATAATTTCTTCACCCACAGTCTGTGGCACTGAGTCAGGTCCTTTTCAGTCTTCCTGCAGAAGATGTTTGACATTATTTGGGGGAAAGGTGCTGACTCTTTCTCACAGGGCAGCCCCGGTGTCCTAGAGAGTTGGTTCCTTTCGCAAATACTAATAGGCTCGATGGTGCGGATGACCAGCCTCCTGGCTGTGCGCCTTGAGGTTGTGGGACAGGCTGGTGGCAGAAACGGTTTCTTTATTAGATCCTCGTCGTAAGCGTGAAAAACTGTGATGTCATGGCCTCCACCCTGTCCGTGTACATCCATTCATTCGGAAAAAATCTGGATACTGTAGGATATGTTCATGTCTACATGTTCACATGGAAAGGGTTTTATAATCTACGTTTTTCACGTAGTTTGAATGCTTTCCCAGGTGATTAAACACACAGGGAGAACAGGTTTTTTTCATGGCTATTCTGATGGTTTCCTTAGTACAAATGTTAGAAATGTACCTATCAGGTCCAAGGCAGTAACTTAGGGTGATATGTGTGGATTGTCTTTTGGAAAAGCTGTAGCAACTTATACAACAACCTGGAATGGATGAGCGTGGTTGTTTCTCTGTGCTCGTTCTAATACTGGGAGTTCTGATGAGGAAAAATACACTCACACAAGCTGCCGTCAGTGCGATCAGTAAGAACAGTGGCACCTCACTGTGCCTTTGGTTTGCATTTCTCTGATGAGAAGTGATCATGGGCTGTTTTTGATACTGTTAATTGGTGATTAGGAGATTTGTGTGGGTGAGGTTTTCAGTTGTTTCCTTGGGTAAGGGGAGCAAAGGCCTTTAATTGGTGGGGTGCCCCCAGGTGGAATTTATTGAACCCAGATACTCTGTCTGACTTTTTATTTAAAAAAAAACAACAACTATATATATTATTGATTTCAGAGAGGAAGAGCGAGGGAGAGAGAGATAGAAACATCAATGATGAGAGAGAGCCCTCGATTGGCTGCCTCCTGCACACCCCCTGGCATGTGCCCTGGACCGGAATCGAACCCTGGACCCTTCAGTCCTTAGGCCGACGCTGTATCCACTGGACCAAATCAGCTAGGGCCTGACATTTTTAGGCAAATTTAAAAAAAAAAATCTTCACCTGAGGATATTTTTCATTGATTTTAGAGAGAAAGGAAGGGCGGGGGGTGGGGTGGGGAGAAACATTGATCGGTTGCACCCTGTACATGCCCTGACTGGGATTCGAACCAGCAACCTAGGTATATGCCCTGACTGGGAATCGAACATGAAACTTTTTGGTGTATGGGACGATGCTCCAACCAACTGAGCCACCCCGCCAGGGCTCTGTCTGGCATTTTTTAATCTACCTGTTGGCGGTACACTGTCGCTTTGTGGGCTCCAAGGCCAGGGCTGTCCTGGACATGGTGTTACCACTTTGTTCCACCCAGTACCATTAGAATAGAAGTAGACTGGGTAGAAAGGTTTTATACTCTGGCATTCATTTTTCAGTTATAATCACAAATTATAATTAAGAGATTAATAATTAATTCTTACCTGAGCAGCTGCCATGTGTTAGGCACCGTGCAGGATGGAGATAAAAGTGAGCCTCGTGGTGATAGGAAGATGTAGCAACTAACAGGGCGATGGTGAAGCGCATGGGTTCCGGAGCCCGGCTGCCTGGGGTCAGCTCCTGGCCCTGCCGCTTCGCTGCAGTGAGACCTTGGCCATGTTACCCGATTTCCTGGGTCCTCGTTTTTTCCTCTGAAATAGTGGAGTCTGAATTCAGATCCATTATGCGAGCTTCCAGGGCCCTGGGTTCTAAGACATGATGATATTTTAGGGGAACACACTTCTTCAGAGGGAAAAGGAGCCCTGACCAGTGTTGCTCAATGGTTGGAGCACTGGCCTGCAAACCGAATGGTCAGGGGTTCAGTTTCTGGCCAAGGCCACACACCTGGGTTGCAGGTTTGATCCCCAGCCATGGTCGGGGCTCAGGGCGTGTGTGGGAAGTGACCAATTGATGTAATTCATGTGTCTCTCTCACTTTGGTCTCTCGCTCTCTCTCTCCCTCCCACCTTCCCTCCCTTCTTGTTTTCTACTCTATGGAAAACATAAGATTTAAAAGAAAAAGAGGGATAGGAAGTAATAGTATTTTTAGATTGTCAGTAAAATAGGGCAACACTGGAATTAACAAATCGTCTGGATGGTGTGAGTAGAGATGCATAGACACTGAGCATGGCAATGGAGGCAGGTGGGTCGAGGCCAGACCACACCTGGTCTTGAAGGAACTGATCAGGTGTTTAGATTTCATTGTTAGTTTCTCAATGTTGACACTACTGACATTTGTGGCTGAAGGTTTCCTTATTGTGGGGACTGTCCTGTACCTCTTAGATCCCCTTGCAAAC